TTGCCCAGGCTAGATTGCAGTCTAAAAACAGGTATTGAAAAACCTCTTTTATGCCAATAAATGTGCTTAACAATGGAGACAGGAAGGAATAAGAAAGAAAAATAACAAACAAGCAGCCAACCAATATTTCATTTAAACCTGTGAAATGCTATGCAGTTACTGAGGAGTGATTTACTTCCAATTATGTGGTCACTTTTAGAGTACGTGTGATGTGGTACTGATAAGAATGTATGTTTTGTGTATTTGGGATGGAGAGTTCTATAAATGTTTATTAAGTTTACTTGTTCCGGGTCTGAGTTCAAGTCCTGGATATCCTTGTTAATTTTCTGTCTCGTTGATCTGTCTAATATTGACAATGTGATGTTAAAGTCTCCCACTATTATTGTGTGGGAGTCTAAGTCTCTTTATAAGTCATTAAGAACTTGTCTTATATATCTGGGTGCTCCTGTATTGGGTGTGTATATATTTAGGATCGTTAGCTCTTCTTGTTGCATTGATCCTTTTACCATTATGTAATGTCCTTCTTTGCCTCTTTTAATCTTTGTTGCTTTAACTTTAAAATATTTTTTAATTTCCCTTGAGACTTCTTTCTTGGCCTATGGATTACTTAGAAACATATTATTTAATTTTCAAATATTTGAAGATTTTCCAGACATTATTCTAATATTGATTTCTAGTTTAATTCCTCTATGGCCACAGACTATACTTGAATAATTTTTAAAAATTTAAGTTTAACTTTAAAAAAATTAGAATATGACCTTATTTTGTAAATGTTCTATATGTATTTGAAAAGAACGTGCATTCTTCTCTTGTTGCATGAAGTGTTCTACGTATATCAATTAATTAGGTTGAGTTGGTTGACGGTGTTCTTCATGTCTTTTATACACTTCCTGATTTTCCAACTATTTGTTTTTTTACTGAGAGAAATGCTTAAATCCACAACGATAACTGTAGATCTATCTGTTTATCCTTTCAGTTCTATTTGGTTTTGCTTTAGGTATTTTGAAGCCCTGTTGTTAGGAACATATACATTTAGGATTGTTATGTCTTCTTTCAACCTGTACATTTTGGTAGTATTTAAAAATAATCTAAATATAGAATAAGGTGACATTAAATTGAAAAGAAAGCACAAAGGATTATCCCTTTTTAAAGAAAAACTGTATTTTTAACGTGTACTCTCAATTTCTTCACTTTTTTCAAGTAAAGAGCTCTGGAAATCACACTACATTATAGGCTGCTGTGACTAAGTTTTGATTAAATGTTTTTTCTTTTCTAAACGTCCCCCTTTGTTACATTAGTTAAGTGTAGGTCCTCATTTTGGTTGGTGTAATTCCAAAAAATCAAGGGCAGGGTTTTTTCCCTTCAGTTCCCAAAGCCACAGTCAAAAGTAGTTAGTTGTCTCTCCCTCTCCCTCTCCTTCTGCATGGGTTTCTTTGTGTGTTTACCTCTAAAAGATACCAACTCCCATGGAAAGACTAAACACTATCAAATCTCAAAACTAATATACAGATGCTCTGCTTTTACCTGTAGCCGTGCTGCCAATTATTTTTAGATGAGGATTAGGATGTGTGTTTCCAGAGTTCCCCAAGGTGAGCCAGTGTATGGTGTTGGCCATGACATGCAGGGGTGGGAATGAAGGGAAAATAAAGAAAGTTTTTGCCCTTGCACCAGGCTCTGAAAAGCAAAATTCAGAAAATAGACTGACAAAAGCTTTCTTAAGAAGAACCTTTCTGAGCCTTGTTAGAATCTTGCTTAAAAACAATCCACCGCATTTTACATTTCTTCATATTATGCCAAAGGTCGTTAGTTAACTAAGGAAGGTGCCAGCTCAGGTAGGAGATTTGAGACTTCATCGGTTGGCCCTGGAGTGATTCTCTCCCCCACTGGTCTACTGGACCTTCTCCATTCTTCCAGCCTCAACAGCAAGAGGCCCCAGAGCTGTCATCCATGTCTCCCTACACATTGGACATCTGCTTCAAGAACCTCTCCAATTAAAAGGGCAGGAAACTCCCCGGCGGCTGTTTTCCACATCCCCCGCAGACCATGAAGTGAACATCTGATAACTGGCCAGGGGAGGAATAAACTCACTTTAGCTCATAGTTACGGTTTAACAGGTCCCTGTGTGTTTATTCACAGAGCCCTGGTTGGTTGGACTTGAGTTTAAATAGTTGACAGGAAGCAATGCCTTCCTTCCTGATATCCCAAACTCATCCAGAGCCAGAGGAAGAACTATACTTTCCAGTTGGTTTACCATCCCTATAAATAAACATAATATCTGTATTCATAAAACACTCACTGACTCCAAATAAGTGGAGCTTGAATAATTGATGTCCTTCACAAACTCCCACTCTGGCGGAAGCAAGCCTCTTGGTCCTGTGAGCTCTTAGTGACCTCTGGATGTCTTCAGCTCCTGGTAACCCAGAGTGGACAAACAAATCCCCTGACCATACCATGAAGGCCACAGGAAGCTGCGAGCTCACAAGTCCTCCTGTACATGTGACTAGCCTGAGGAAGGCCACAGCACATATTCTTAGATCTCTGCTTTAGGAATCGCTTAGGAGAAATGACCCTAAATGACTTAAACTCAAGGATGGGAACCGCCTAGTGAAATCAACAGGCCTTTTGTGTGGGAAGCAAGGGAGTCAGGTCCTTGAGAGCAATGTCCTGCTTCAGTGTTTGTGAGGGTGACAGGGAACTTCTGGCCTCACTGTTCAGGGACAGCCACAGTTGACAGGTGCTCCCCAGGAGGCCATACTCAGGCTTGGTGCCAGGGCCATTGTGTCTACCTACATGGCGTCCTCAAGCCCCGCCTGAGAATAGCTGGTAATGGCGTATTCTAACCCCAAAGCCAACACTCCCTTCCACCATCCTGTCCTGTGCTCTTGGGTTTGTTTCCAGACACAAGTGAGGATTCAGAGGACACCCTGGCCTGCTGAAATCCATTTATTTGATCTATTGCTTCCCACCCCAGGCAGAATGACCTCTAGCCTTCACCATGATTAAATGACAGTGCCACAAGAGAAAGAGCCACGGCTCACAGTTCCCCCAAGCTGTGCTAGCTACAAAGGAACCTTTCAGTTCAGCTCAGAGGGCGCTGTTCAGGGATGGGAAGGTTGTAGCTATACACGTGGTCAGTTTTTTCCTTGACGTTGTTTTGTCTTTTACTTGGTTGTTGGTCAGTACACGACATTGCTTGCTCTGCCTTATTTGGGTATCACGGGAAATGCTGAAACCTATTTGTGGGGATAAACCCAAAAGTAAACACTTGCAGAAGAGGGCATTTGAGGACACCTGAGACTGTTTAACTTGTGCCTGTGACTAAGAGGAAGTGGCTTCTAACCTGGCTGCCTTAGTTGTGTGGTGGAAGGAGCCCAGGGCAGCGGGGCCAGGCACGCGGGAATATCACTTGAGGCCCCGGCCACCCTCCCTAATCGAGCCCAGCAGACGGCGACGCTGGGAAAGACACCCAGATTCCAGCTCTGCTGCTGGCATGGGCCTGGGCAGGCAGCTGAGCGGCCCAACTGGTGGTGACAGTGGCTGATTATCTGGCTGAAAATAAGCCTGGGGGATTGTGTGTCGTGGGGAAGGGGTCAGCGTCTGATCTTCATCCACACTACCCGGGGCACCTCAGGTCCCATCAGAGTTCTGCTCCCAGGTTTCCGGCTGAGTGGCCTGACAATGTTTACAGCACTTGCACCCCGGGGGCGGGTGCTCCCAAGACCCAGGCACCCGAAAGCAGAGAGGACTCACCCTTGTGTTATTATTCCCCAGGCTGCGGGGCCATGCTGGTTCCAGGCAGGCTGTGGACAGGTATGCCCCAGCAGACACCCAACACCGAGCAAGGAGGTGGCGGGAGACACACGCACACCTGGGCCGTTCCCCTCACAGGTGCGAAGCCGCTTCCCTGGGGGAGGCTTTGTATATCTGCCGACAGCAATCATGACAAGATAAAATCCAAGGATGCCTGGGTTTCTTGTCAAACAAAATGAAGCTTATTCCAGGGCAGCAACACCTCCCCTACAGGTCTGAAGCAGTCCAGCTCTAAAGGCTCTAAACCTTTGGTTTGCTGAGAATATTCTGGAATTCTTCAGCAGTCATTACACCCCAGATGTAACATATGAAATGCATGAACAGACCCTAAGGCGCACAGTCTCACAGAGAACACTTGTGTCCTCCTTATATACCCAGGAGTCTTGGTTTGGGGGCATCCGAGGATTCCGGCAACACTCACAGCCCAGCCCAGCCCACCCCACCCCAGTCCCCTTGGAACCACAGTTGAGGCTACGGAATTAACTCTGAATCCTAACACATGTTGAGGTTTTATAGCTGTTGCTCCTGGACCCCACTGGCTCTTTCTTACTTTGCTCCACAGGTCCCAGATTTTCATCTGCAGAACGATTTGTTTCTCTAGTGCTCAGTTCACTGGGCCCTACATGCGTCCCTCCAGCCTGTGCCTCTCTCCTTGGCCCAATCAGGCCTGTCCCCGCTCCCAGATGGACGGAAGGGAGCCCCAGCAGGGTCTCAGCCACTACAAAGCCCAGAGCCTCCTTGTGCTTCCCACCTGGTTCCCGTCCTACCCCGCTGCCTTCCTTCTCTTCTCCAGCTTCAGATCCCATCCCTGAAAAGGTCATTCTGATTTTTGACCTTTGGGGCGCGTTCTAGGACTTGGTTTTGCTTTTGCTCACTCCCTGGCTTCACTCTGTGGCTGCTGCTTACATACCTTCCCCTGGTCTTCTCCCACTTACAACCCGGTTCCGTTTGGTCCTGGCCCTGGGACGCCCACCCATTGTGGTTGGTTCTCCCTTTGGGCATGAAGCGGGGGTACGGCTCGGTCCCTGTTCTCTGTGTATCTGTTTGGTTTTAGCACACGGAGTGAACAAGCGAAAGCACAGCAGGGCTAGTTAAGACCTTAGATCTTCCATGGAATCGCGCATTTCAGGTCCCACCTCACATTTTACCACGCCTACTGAAGGCACCTGCCCTCCCTGGGCGCACCTCACCTGGACCTCCCGGCCAGCGGAGCTGCACTGCGCGTGCTGCCATGCGTTCACTCAGGTGGGCGTTTGATGGACCACATGGTGAGTTCTGTTGGCAGCATTTTTGACTTATTTTCCAGCTGTGTCGTCATCAAGAGGCAGCTGCTGATAAGCTGTCCCAGTTTAACCTTCCCAGACATGACGGCTGTGGAGGTGGCCCTTGGTTTTCTCCTCTATGCTGAAAACAACGAAACCAAAAACGTCACCACTCGGCTTCTTTGATTCCTGCTTCCCTACCCTCCTATGGAGTCTCTGCTTTTTACCCATCCATCTTACCTTGCAGATGGTCACGGTACACAGGGAAGTTTACATGGAATGGTGGTGAACAAAAAGATGGAAACGCTCTCCTCTTCCTGGGCCCAGTACACACACTCACCCACCCTTTCCCACATCCTCTGGCTCTCCTCCTCCTCAGCTTTGGAGTCCAAAGTTTTTCAGGAACTTTACCCCAAAGACCACCCTTCTGCGCTTTCCCAGGGGCTTTTTTTGCACTACAGCCTCTCCTCATTAAAAATAACAGACAAAAATAAATACATAAAAAACAAAAACTGACCTTGCTCCCACATCTCCTTCCAGCTCCGATTCCTCTGTCCCTTCTCTGAAAGCATTCATCTGGAATTTGTCTTTTTGTGTCTGAGCTCTTTCCCCCCAGGCATTGTGATGGTGTGTCTTTCAAACCCAACGTTCTGACCAGTGCCCTAGCCTGTCCAGTGCTTTCATTATTTATTCCATTACTCTGTTTCTGAATCAGTACTGCACTATTTTAATGACTCTGGCTTTGCAAAATGACCTAATGCCTGGTAGAGAGAGGTTGTTTTTGATGATGGTGTTTAAAATTGATTTAGCTGTTCAAATTCCTTCATTGTTTCATATAAATTTTAGAATCTGTTTCCTGAGATGAATCAAAGAATCTTAATTGCAATTGCACTTACTATATTAATTTGGAAGTAGAGTGACTAGATCTCTACAGTGCTGAATTTTTCTATGCATGAACAGTAAATATCTATTTCTTTATTTTAATCTTTTATGTCTTTCAGTGTTTTCTAATAATCTCCATAAAGTTTGTACATTCTTGTTAGATTTATTTTATATGTGTGTGTATATATTTTGCAATTGTGACATTTTAAATGTTACATGACTAGACTTATTGAATATTTAATAAAAGATTATTAGTTTTTATAACTTTATTTTGTATTCATATACCTTTCCTCACTGTCTTACTAATTTTATTATTTTTTCCATTGAGTTTCTTGTGTTTTTTTATATAGATGATCGTATTTCACTTACAATTTTGTCTACCTTTCTAATTCTTATTCTTGCCTTGTTGCATTGTTTAGAAACTCTAGTACTCTATTCAATAGTAGTGGTGATAATGGGCATTTTCCCATATTAAACTTGTTGTTTTACTATTACATAAGCTGTCTGTATTAGATTTTTGATAAGTGCCAATTATTATTTTCATGACATTTCCTTCTACAGTTAGGATATATATGTTTTCTTGTGAATGGGCTTTAAATTTTATTGAGTGCGTTTTCTGTATCTTTTGAAAGGTACGTATGTTTTTTCTTCTTTAATATATTAATGAGATGAAATATACATCTACCTAATGAAAGAACCATTTTTTCATTTCTGGTATGAGCCTAACTTAGTCATGACAAATTACTATTTTAGGATACTACCAGATTAGAATCCCTGATATTTCCTGTAGGATTCTTACATTTATATTTCTAAGTGACCTGTACTTTTTCTTTCTTATAGGGACCATTACATTTATTTTAATCCAGATTATATTTACACAAAAAATAAATTGAAAGCTTATTTATTTTTATCTGCAAGATGTTATGTTAATATTTTATCTTACTTCTTATCTGTAAGAACTTGTAAAAATAGAAATTACCTGTTCTTTGACAATTTGATAAAAATATACCCAAAAAATCTGAGTGAGGTTGTAGATTGTCACTGGATTTTCCTCACTGTCATTGGTTTACTCAAATTTTTCATTACTTATCAGTTTTGGTAGTTTATATTTTATATATTCTTTGTTTTTTCAACAGTATATGAAATAGTTGTTCATAATATCTTCCTTGATTTAAAACATTCATTCAGTATCTGTAGTTATTCCCCCATCCTCACCTTTTTCTTCCTTTTTTAGAGATGCAGTCTTGCTGTCATCCAGGCTGGAGTGCGGTGGCATGATCTCAGCTCACTGCAACCTCTACTTCCCGAGTTCAAATGATTCTCCTGCCTCAGCCTCCAGAGTAGCTGGGACTACAGGTGCGTGCCACGGGACTCAGCTTATTTATTTATTTATTTGTTGTTGTTTAGCAGAGATGGGGTTCACTGTGTTAGCCAGGATGGTCTCCATCTCCTGACCTCATCATTCACCCACCTTGGCTCCCCAAAGTGCTGGGATTACAGGTGTCAGCCACTGTGCCTGGCCTATTTTCCTTTTTAATTGCCAGGTTTGGGGTTTCGTAACTTCTTTTTCAGCTGATTCATTCTGTTAAAGGATTTATTGAAAATGTTATTAGTTTTTTTCAAAGAACCTTTGGTTTGATTAATCATCTCTAGTACCTATTCTCCCCGATCCATGGATTTCATTAACTTTTCCCCCTTTTTAAATTCTATACCCAATTTTTTCAATCTTTCTTGTTTTCTGCTAAATATATTAAAACTATATGTCTCCTTCTAAGTATTATTTTGGATATATTCCACAGTTTTTGATAAGTAGTCGTTTTATGCTTATCTCATTGAGAAGTTATAATTCCATTATGATTTCCTTTTAATCTGCAAATTATTGAAAAGTAAGGTTGTTCGTTTTCAGACATGGAATGCTTTCGGTGAACCTTTTCTTTGTTGATTCCTAATTTCATTGCATCACGAAGAGAGAATGCAGTCTGTGTGATGTTGGTGAATTTGTTGGGCCTTTCTCTGTGGCCAAATGTGTGATCAATTTTCATAACTGTTCTGTGTGCTTTTTGTTTTTTAGATACAAGTTCATATCAAGTTGTAATTAAATTATTCCCTCTTCTACATCCCTCCTGGTTTTTTGCCTGGCTGGTGTTTTCATTTTTGAGAGGTTTGCTAACATCTACTATAATACAGATTCGGTTATTTTCTCTATGGGTGTATTGTTGATCTTATCAGCATAAAACGTACTTCTCTGCCCCATTTAATACCTTTGCTTTAAACTTTACTTGATGTGACATTGGTATTTCTATTCTCGCTTCTCTTTTGTTCATATCTGCCCATTTTGTGAGCCTGCTTGTCCTTCTGTTACCCAGCTGCCCCAGCACTTTCGGAATTTGGGTCTGCTGTTTGACTGTTTTCTGTTTGTCCCTCCAATTCTGTTCATCCTTTCTTGCTTTTTTATTATTTTAGTAAGTTGTTGAATTTCAAATTTTCAATTTATCTATTGATTTTAATGATATCTTTGCAGTTTTAGACGTTTGTCTTGGGGATAACACTCTTAACCCTCCACAGTTTACTTCCTATTAATATTGTACCATTTACCTAAAGTGTGGAAACTGTAGCCATACAGAGACACTTCCGGTTCCTCTGTGTTTCATGCTGTAGTAATCACATGTGTCACCTCTACCTATGTTACCTCACAAGGCATTGTCATGTTTTTTTCTTTGTCAGTTTTATATTTTTTATGTTATTCTTCCCTTCTAAAGATTCCATTTTCTATCTAGTATCATTTCCCTTCAGCCTGAGGAACCTCTTAAAGCATTTCTTATACTGAACTTTACTGGCAATAAATTATCTTCATTTTCTTTCTACTTAAGCATATTTTTATTTCATCTTTGTTTCTGGACGGTATTTTCACTGAATACTTCTGAGTTAATGTTTTTTCTTTCAAAATGTTTAAATGACTTCTGGTCTCCATTGTTTCTGATGAGAAGTTAGTGATAATTCAAATGTTTTTTCACCTATGTGTATTTTTTTCTGGCTTCTTCTGAAATTCTTTCTATAAAAGACTTGTTTTTAGAAGCTTGTCTCTGATGTGGCCTGGCATGGTTTTCTTTGTATTTGTACTTCTTGGAGTTTACTGAGCTTTTTTCATCTTTAAATTTATGTCTTTATCTAATTTAGAAATTTGGTGCTGTTGTTTCTTTTATGTAGAAATCATTTCCATTTTAGAAGTTGTGATAAAGTGGCCTGTTGGCATAGTGGTTAAAGTATAAGGCCTGCAACTGCAAGGTTGCTGGTTCAAATCCTCAGTGGAGCCCGTCTTAAAAAAAAAAAAGTTGTGATAAAATACAGATCGCATAAAACTTGCCATCTTTGTGTATATGGTTTGGTAGTTTTAAGTACATTCACACTGTTGTGGAACCAATCTCCAGAACTCACTTCATTTTGCCAAACTGAAACTCTGTACCCACCAAGCAACTCTCTTCTCTCCTCCCTTCAAGCCCTGGTAACCATCATTCTATTTTCTGTCTCTATAAATCTGACTATGCTAGGTACCTCATGTAAGTAGAACCATACAGTATTTGTCCTTTTCTGACTAGCTTATTTCACTCAGCATAATGTCCTCAAGGTACATCCATGTTGCAGCATATGTTCAAATTTCCTTCTTTCCTAAGGCTGAATAATATCTTTTTGTATGTATACGCCACATTTTGTTTATGTGCTCATGCATTGATGGACACTTGCATTGCTTTCATCTTTTGGCTATTAAGAATAATGTGACTATGAAAATGGGTGTACAAACATCTGTTTGGGTATATACCCAAACATGGAATTTCTGGATCATATGGTAAATCCATTTTCAATTTTTTTTTTTTTTTTTTTTGAGATGGAGTTTCACTCGTGTTGCCCAGGCTGGAGTACAATGGCATGATCTCGGCTCGCTGCAGCCTCCACCTCCCAGGTTCAAGTGATTCTCCTGCCTGAGCCTCCCCAGTAGCTGGGATTACAGCTACCCATCACCACACCTGACTGGTTTTTTTGTATTGTTAGTAGAGATGGGGTTTTGCCATGTTGGTCAAGCTGGTCTCGAATTCCTGGCATCAGGTGATCTGTCCATCTTGGCCTCCCAAAGTGCTAAGATTACAGGCATGAATCACCATGCCTAGCCTATTTTCAATTTTTTAAGGAACCACCATATGCTTTTTCACAGAAGTTGAACCATGTTACACTCTTACGACAGTGCACAATTTTCCCAATTTCATCATGTCCTTGTCAATTCTTGTTATTATTTTTTTTTGAAGTAGCATGCTACTAGGCATGCAGTGGTATTCTATTGTGATTTTAATTTGTATTTTTTCATTGATTAGTGATGTTGAGCATCTTTTTATGTGCTTGTTACCCATTTGCATATTTTCTTTGGAGAAATGTCTATTCGTTCTTTACCCATTTTTTTAATTGTTTGGTCTTTTTGCTGTTGAGCTATTGGAATTATTTCATATTCAGAATATTAACCCTTTATGAGATATATATATAATTTGTAAATATTTTCTCTCATTCTGTGAATTGTGTTTTCATTTTGTTGATTGTATTCGTTGATGCACAGAGTTTTTACAGTAAAATTCATCTATTTTTACTTTTGCTACCTGAGCTTTTAGTGTCATATCCAAGAAATCATTGCCAAGTCCAATGACATGAAGCTTTCCCCTTATTTTTTCATCTGAGAGTTTTACATCTTACACTGAGGTCTTCAAGCCATTTTGAATTCATTTTTTGTATTCAGTGTTAAGTAAGGGCCCTACTTCATTTCTTCACATAAGTCTATGCAGTTTTCCCAGCATCATTGGTCCTTTTGTCCTTTCCCCATTGAATGGTCTTGGCACCCTTGTCCAGAGTCATTTGACCAGGTGTGTGAGGGTTTATTTCTGGACCCTGTATTCTATTCCATTGGTCTATATGTCTGTATTTATGACATTACCACATTGTTTTGATCGTTGTTGGCTTGTAATAAGTTTTTAAATCAGGAAGTGTGAGAACTCTAACTTTGTTCATTGTTTGCAAGATTGCTTGGGCTATTGGGGATCCCTTGAAATTCCATATGAATTTTAGAATGAATTTTTCTATGTCTGTCCAAAACCCCACTGGGATTTTGATAGAGGCTACATTACATTTGTAGATCTCTTTGGATAGTATTGCTATCATGTAGATAGCAATACTACCAAACATATTAACATTAAATATCTTTCAATTTATTTACATCTTCTTTAATTTCTCTCTGCAACATTTTATAGTTTCCAAAGTCCAAGACTTTCACCTCCTAGAATAAGAGATATTTTACCTCCCAGATATTTTATTCTTCTTGATGAAATTGTAAATGGAATTGCTTTCTGAATTTTCTTTAGAGATTGTTTAATGTTAACGCATAGAAATACACTGATTTTCGTGTGCTGATTTTGTGTCTTTGAACTTCACTAAGTTCTTGTATTGGCTCTAATTTTTCTGTGTAATCTTTTTAGAGTTTTCCACATATTCGATCATGTTGTTTGTAAGCAAGGATGATTTTACTTCTCCCTTTCTAAATTTAGATATCTTTTATTTTATTTCCTTGCATAACTGCTCTGGCTAGGACTTCCAATACTATGTCGACTAGAAGTGGTAAACGTGAACAGAAGTGATTATTCTTGTCTTTTTCCTGGTCTTAGAGGAAAAGCTTCTAGCTTTTTACCATTGAGTGTGATGTTAGCTAAGGATTTTTCATATGCAGCCTTTACATATTAGGTTGAGGTAGTTTCTTTCTGTTCCTAGTTTTTGAGGGTTTTTGAAAAATCACGAAATGGTGTCAGATTTTGTCAAATGCTTTTTTTGCATCAATTGAGATGATCATGTGAGGGTTTTTCTCTTTTATATGTTAATGTGGTATATTACATTGATTGAGTTTTTGGTATAAATTTGTGGGGGACAAGTGCAATTTTGTTACATGCATAGATTGCATAGTGATAAAGTCAGGGCAGTTAGGACATCCGTCCTGAGTAATATACATTGTGCTCATTAAATATTTTCTCATCATCCACCCCTCCCACACCCTCATGCTTCAGAGTCTCCAGTGACTAACGTTCCACATTCTACGTCCATGTAAATACAATATTTAGCTTCCAGTTAAAAGTGAGAATGTTTGACTTGTTTCACTGCAGACAATGACCTCCAGTTCAATCCATGTTGCTGCAAGAGACATGATTGTATCCTTTTATTATAGCTAAATAGTATTCTGTTGTGTATATACAACACATTTGCTTTATTTAATCCTTTGCTGATGAACACTTAGGTAGATTCCATACTTTTTCTATTGTTAGTGGTGCTGCGATAAACATAGGCATGCAGGTATCTTTTTGATATAACAAGTTATTCTCCTTTGGGTAGTCATCCAGTAGTGGAATCGCTGATCAAATGGTAGTTAATTGCTTTTTGTATGCTGAACCATCTTGCATTCTAAGAATAAAAACCACTTGGTCATTGTATACAACTCTCTTAAGGTGCTGTTGAATTCTGTTTGCTAGCATTTTTGCATCAATATTCACCTGTAGTTGTTTGTTTGTAGTCTTTGTCTGGCTTTGGTATCAGAGTAATTGTGGTCTCATAGAATGAGTTTGGAAATATTTCCACCTCTTCAATTTTTGAAACAGTTTGAGGAGGATTTATGTCCTTTTTTTTACTGTTTGGCAGAATTCATCAAGGAAGCCATCTTCTTCTGAGCTTTTCCTTCTTGGGAAGTTTTTAATTACTGGTTCAATGTTCTTACTAGTAATAAGTCTGTTTGAATTTTCTGTTTCTTCATGACTCCGTCTGAGTAGGCTGTGTGTTTCTAGGGATTTATCCGTTGCATCTAGGTTATACAATTTGTTGGCATAAAGTTACTTATAGTGCTTTCTTATAATTATTTTCCTTCTGTAAAATCAGTTGTAATGCCCCACCTTTCATTTCTGCTTTTAGTTATTTGAATCTTACCCTTTTTTCCTTGGTTCATCTAGCTCGAGGCTTGTCGTGATGTTAATCTTCACAAAGACCCAGGTATTGGTTTTGCTGATTTTCCTTAGTGTTTTTCCAGTCTCTGTTTAATTTATATCTGCTGCAGTCTTTACTAATTCCTTTCCTCTGCTAGCTTTGAGTTTACTTTGTTTTTATTTTCTAGGTCATCAAGATAAAACTAGGTGGTTGAGTTCAGAAAAGCCTTTATTTAGCTTTGCTGCTTTGAACTTGTTCCATGAATGCATCTGACAGGGATCGGCAGCAGATTTGAGTGGAGTTCCAAATTTGGTCTCTCCATCTACAGGTCTCTTCTTTCTGAAACTCCAGCAGCTGCAGTTACTCCAATTCTGTACTATGGCTCTTCGGGCTGAGAAGGTGCAGATTTCTATCAGAGCAAGTAAGGAACTCATCCTGTGTTAGTCACTCCTGCCAGGTTTCATCCCTCTCCAGAATCTTCTTGCTTGCGTCCACTCTCCATTGTGCCAGCCATTGTTTTCTTTTCCCAGTGCCTCAGAGTTAGTATCTGCCAGAGAGACAGAGCCATTGGGAGGTCACCTGACAATACTGGAAGCTTATTATTATGCTCGTGAAAAGTGATTTAAAAAAATTCCTTGAAGGCACTCAGTAGACTTCTCCTGAGAGTTGTTGGCCAGAACTGCACCCAGACCCAGAGTGGAGAAAGAATCACCCTGATTGCTTCGATCAGTCGGGATTTCCCTCTAGAGCTACGTGCAGAGGCACCCATCTCTGGGTGATGTGAACAGAATCAGAGCTGAATCAGAACTAAATCAGCAAGATGGAAAACAGGCATGGCTGCTACAAGACAGTAGCGAGTGTCTGCTAGAACACTTACAAAGAATTGAACGTATTTATTTCTCTAATAACAACTGAAATTAATCAGCATATATATCTTCCCTTTTAAGAAAATAAAAATGTACCATACCTTGCATTTCTGTGGTTGACGTGGAGAAGGCATCGTTAAGTGTGGTAAACCATCTTAAAAATTGGATTATTACTATCGTCATCAATATACTCATAATTATTTCTGTATGAAAAAAAAAAGAAGGGAGAATGAGTGCCAAAAGGTGTTCAGAGACAAGCTTTTCCTCCCACACTTCTCTTTAGAAACATTCCAAGCACCAAATAGTTTCAAGCACCCATGAAACATTTATCAATATAGACCATATCCAGGGCCATAAAATGAGCCTCAATGAATGTGAAAGAATTGAAGTCATACAGCGTGTGTTGTCTGATCATAATGACATTAGTAACAGAAAGACAAAAGAAAAATCTCCAGACACAGAAATTTAACAACGCACTTCTATAAAAACTCATGGGTCAAAGAGGAAGCTTCAGAGGAAATTTGAAAAAATACAGAGAACTGATTGGAAACAAAAAGATGACAGATCAAAACTTGTGGGAGGCAGCTAAAGCTAAGGGGGAGATTTACAGCACCAAAAGCTTTGTGGAGAAAAGATCCCAAATCAATCAGCTAAGTCTCTGCCTTAAGAAATTTTTGAAATAGAAGAGCAAAAATATGGAGAGAAGAGAGAAGATAAATGTATTTATTACTGCTGAACTGCACACTTAAAAATGATAAAGATGGTAAATTTTCTATGTATATTTTACCTTAATTTTTAAAAGAAGAAAAAGAAGAGCAAAATCAAGCCAAAGAAAGCAGAAGGAAGAAAATCATAAAGATAAGAGCGTAACTCAAATGGCAAAATAGAGTAGCAAAAAGAATCCATAGCCCTCCCCAAGCAAGACTAACAAAAAGAGAGAAGACAAAAATTTTAAGTGCCCAGAATTAAATAAGGGGCATCACTACGGAACCTGTGGCATACAGAATACTGTGAAAATGGTATGCCAGATTAACCTTCTGCTCTAACCACTCAACAAGAAGACAACTGTGCCTTGTGCCAACATGACCAGCTGCTTCTGAGTCCTGGGCAACCTGGACTGAATGTTCTTCTGCAGCAAGGCTGCCTTACCCCAGCATCTATGCACGTACAGGAAAGCTAGCTGCTCTTTTGTTTGTTTTATTTTTATTTTGTAATTATGGTAAAATACATGTAATGTAAAATTTACCACCTAAACCTTTTTTTTTTTTTTTTTTTTTTTGAGATGGAGTTTTGCTCTCGTTGCTCAGGCTGGAGTGCAATGGTGCGATCTCAGCTCACCACAACCTCCACCTCCCGGGTTCAAGCGATTCTCCTGCCTCAGCCTCCAAGGTAGCTGATCTCAGGTTATCTGCCTGCCTTGGCCTCCTAAAGTGCTGGGATTATAGGCATAAGCCACTGCTTCCGGCTGAGTTCAACATTTTAAGATTCTACCTATGGGTGAGATCATGCAGTATTTGTTTTTCTGTGCCTGAGATAAATAAACTGTTAGTTTATAACACTTATTTTAAGAACCTTTTTTTTTTTAAGATGGAGTCTCACTTGGTCACCAGGTTTGAGTGGAATGACACGATCTTGGCTCACTGCAACCTCCCCCTCCTGGGTTCAGATTCTCCTGCCTCAGCTCCCAGAGTAGCTGGGATTACAGGCATGCCCCACCACACCCAGCTCATTTTTTTGTATTTTTGGTAGAGATGGAGTTTTTCCACATTGGTCAGGCTGGTCTCAAACTCCTGACCTCAGCTGATCTGACTGCCTCGGCCTCCCAAAGTGCTGGGATTACAGGTGTGAGCCACCGCACACCCAGCCTCACCTTCACTATTTTTAAGTGCCCAGCTGAGTGGCATTATGCACATTCACACTGCTGTGAAACCGTCACCACCATCCACCTCCAGGGCTCTTTTCATCTTCCCAAACTGAAATTCTGTACCCATTAAACACTAACTCCACACATTCCATCTTCCCCTCAGCTCCTGGCAAACACCATTCTACTTTCTGTCTCTGTGAATGTGATGACTCTGGGCACCTCGTATAAACGGAATCATGTAGTATCTGTCCTTCATGACTGGCTGATTTCCCCCAGGATAACGTCCTCAAGATCTAGTCCTGTTGCAACACATGTCAGAATCTTTTGAAGGTCGAATAATATTGCATTGTATATATATACCACATTTCGCTCACCTATTCATTCATTGTTGGACATCTGAATTGTTTCCATCTTTCTGTGAATAACATTGCTATGAATACGAATGTACAAAGTTCATTTTATAAGGTGACTCAGGAGAGCTTTAATTGGTACATGATATGAGAAGTAACATCTATGGTCATGAGGAAGAGGAAATTGCTAAATGCCTGTGGCTTGAGCCACATTAAAGGAGAGATGATTTAGGATGGGAGCTCACGTAAAAAAACATGTCAGGGAGCTCTTGCTGTGAAAGAAACATGTCAGGGAGCTCTTGCTGTGAAAAATATTTGCCTGACAGCAGATGCTGCATTTCATGCTCCTCTACCTACTGCTTCTGGATGACCTGTGTGTGCTGCACACTCACTCAGCTGGCTGGGGTCTTTCCATCCAGATCTTCCAGTTCTTGGGTGCAGTTACCTGCACTCTGCAGATGAGGAAATGGAAGCACAAAGGTATTAGTAGGCCTGTTCCTGTCACCAGTTGGCTGGTTCCAAAGTCTGTCCTACAAGGCATGGAAGCATGGTCAGGACATCATGGGGTGCCTCTCTCAGAAGCACCCTGGTCCCTCAGGATCCCGATCTTCCTCCACTTCCAGGGTGGTTGGATGCAGGAAGGAGGGGCAGACAAAGCAGCACAGGGTGTGAAGTTCAAGGATGCAGTGTGATGTGGCTCTGAGCCATGCGGTGACGTGGGGCGAGGGCATCCCATTCCTGTCTTGCCTCTCAGTTTCCTCATCTGTAGAACATGGACGGCCACTCTTCCCTCAAGGAGATAGTGAGGAAGTCACAACCCACACATTGTGAGAAATCGTCCACCCACAGTAGGCTGATGATGAGCGGGCAGCAGTCTCAGGCCACTCTTCAGACCCTATACTGTTCTCATGCCCTTACCCCCTGGAGCCTGAGATGCGGGAGTGCAAGCCCATCCCCTCCCTTGTAGACCTGCCTTTTTCGACAAGGAGCAAGGGTGCTGGGTGGGGAGGGGTCATGCTCTCCTGGCACAGGGGGAGGCTGAGAGCCCTGCTCCGGAGAGAAAGGCAGACGCTGAGGGCACATGCTAGAAACAGGTGTTCCTGGCCCAACCAAAACCCCGCTGGAGGTAACAGAACCACAACATGGTGAGCAGCAGGGTAGGGGTGGATGGACAGAGTGGGGAGAGGTATTTGGAAAGGCACAAGTTCTGGAATCAGCCCATCTGATTCCATCCATCCACAAGGGCTGGTCCCTGCTCTTCTGGGCATGGACAGGCCTCAGCACAGGCCAATTGCAAAGCTTCCCTTGGCTGAGCTCTGCAGTCCTCCTGTTACAGGGCCTGGTGCACAGCAGCCATTTGCCAAGTGGAGGCTGTATTTCTCCCAGAAAGCTGTGTTTCCGAAATTCCTTTCTGCCTCTGTCAGTTGGGAGGGTGGCTCCCCCTCTAACTTCCCTTCCCCTATGGTGAGCTCCTCCAAGCATATATCGTAGGTGCTTGATGCTTGCTGGCAGAATCAATGAATGGGTGGAGTATCATAGCCAAGAGAGTAGAGGTCAGCAGGAAGAGAAAGTTCACATTTCAAGGGGAAGTTGAGAGTCAAACCCTGTGCTGTCCTGGGAGACTCATTCAGAGGCATTTCATTCTGGAACTCCGCCCGAGGCATCCAGGAGCCTGCCTGGACCTCTGCCTCAGTATTGCTGCATTTGCCCCACCCTGTCTTCTAGGTCCTCTGCATCTGCTAAGGGATGCTAACTCGACTATTCACTGAGCTGAGAAAGGCACGATAACCTAGAAAGCCCACGCAGTAAGGACAGAGCCACAATGTATCGCATCAGTGATACTGGCTTTATTTTAGCTACAGCATGATTCCTCTCATCCTCCAACACATGAGACCTTCAGCAAGCATTTATTCTAAATCCTACCCCCAACTCCCTTCCATTAATTAGAAGGCCCAACCCCTGTCTCAGCTCTCTAAGCACTGGCTCAGCCTGTTGCTTCTGAGCCTGCATACCATGCAGGACCCCACTCTGTGTGGCAGAGAGGAGACGTGAGGAAGAATCCCATGAGCATCACCTTCATCCAGGAGTTGATGCTCCAGATGCAGGGCTTGCAAAGAGCCGCTGCAGAATCCGACTGTGCAGTGAGCTGCTGTTTCCCTTACGGGAAATGGTTTCTTTGGGTGATGATTAAATGGCAATAGTCTTCAGGACTGTTCTGTTCAGTGCTACAGCTGCGTTGGGCCAAAGGTGCCCAGCTAGGAGGCAAATTGGACCTGAAATCCAGCTGATGCTGCTTTTCCCACGCCAAGTCGGCGGCTGCTGCTGCCCAGGGGGCAACGTCTGTAATCCACACAAAGGCACAGCACGTGAGTGGTGCTGAGCTTGCTTCCTTCTGGTGTATCAGATGCTGGTGAGCAAGAATGCAAAGTGCTGTGTGCAGCTCCCCAGTGGGATCCCAAACTGCTGCACGGGAAGCAGCGGGGACAGACACGGGTGGTCCACCCACCTTTGAAGGGCCCCTTCCCTCCCCATTCCCTCTCATCTCAGCCCTGGGACATGCCAGAGGGTTGGCAGAGCCTGGCAGGACAACTCTGGAGATTCTCAGAAGGAAAAGCAGGAGAGGGAGTTTCCAGGGGTTGGTAGGGAACTGCCGGGGGATGTCCCTGCAATTGCAGCCTCCTCAGCAATATTGGAACCTCCTCTGATCACAGGATGCCCAAAGGGTGCAAGGCAAGAGAGGCAAAAGGTAAAGTAACGAAGGCATCTCTGCCTTCTTGCTACCTACCCCAGGCACATACCACATCTCCTGTATCAAAGCCAGGGGCAGGTGTCGCTGGCTCTGCTTTACACAGGAATCAACAGAGACTCATTGGGGGGAGGTCGCTTGACCCCCACCACTCTGCTAGTCAGTAGCAAGGCCACACTTTAGACCCTGGCCTGCCTGGCTGCCCACAGTAGCCGCCACCTCTGCACGGACA